TTCTTCTTTCTGGCGGCGGAAATAACAAACCGGCAATCGCTGCGTGGCAGCGTCTCTCTCCATGACTATCGCCCTTCGAACACGCTCACCTTTGCCCCCGGAATCGCCGCACACATGCCGCAGCAAAACGGCGCCGGCGGCGTGCACGCCCTGCTCGAGTCGCTGGCCCCGGGCCGCGCCACGCCTTCCTCGCGCCGCCGCCCGCCATCCCCGCGGCGTCGCTGCAGGTCGTCAAGGACACGCTCGACGCCTTTGCCGGGCAGATCAGCGACGAGCAGCTGCAGCGGCTCAAGGAGGCCAACCGGAACAGGAAGCGGAAGCGCGAGGCCGCCGCCGCCGCCGCCGCCGGGGACGTGCTCAAGATCCGCAAGGTGCACCTCGACGGCTTCGAGACGGGGCAGGTGTGGCAGCAGACGAGGAGGATCATCCAGAGCGCGCTGCGCCATTCCGAGGAGGCGCTCAAGGAGCTTGAGGAGCGGCATGAGATTGTGGTCGAGGGCGCTGACGGCGCGGCTGGGCTCGTCGGCTCGGAAGACGATGAAGATCTCGAGATCGACTTGGATGGTGCCTCGGACGAACTCGATGGGGGCGAGGAAGACGAGCTCAGCTCCGGAGACGAGGTCGACGATGCTGAACTTGACCCGGACTCTGCAGCCGACCTACTTGAGGACGACCTGGAAGCTCTTGAAGATGAGGACGATGAAGAGCTGCTGGATGATGAAGAGGAAGACGACGAAGACGACGAAGACGACGGTGAAGAGGACGGGTCTGACGGACCGGATGATTACGTCGAGGACCCCAACGGCCTCAACGACGGGTTCTTCTCGATAGACGACTTCAACAAGCAGACGCAGTGGTTCGAAGACCAGGACGCCAGGGGTGACCCCAACACGGACGCCGGCGACGAGGACGAGGACGAGATTGACTGGGCTGCCGACCCTCTGGCCGCGTCGAGCAAAAATACAAAGCAGGCAAAAACAAAGGACGTCGACGTGGACGGCGAGGACAAGCAAGACGGTGACGACGACGAAGACGACGACGACGAAGAGGACGGCCCGACGTTCGGCAACATGGACCTCTACGCACCCGAAGGCGAGAGCGAGGACGAGGACATGGACGACGCCCTGGAGGAGGACACCGAGTTCAACGCCAACGACGTGTTCTACAAGGACTTCTTTGCGCCACCGGCGCGAAAGGCCGACAAGAACAGGCCCAAAAAGTCTGTGCGCTTCAACCCCAAGCCCGTCGCCGACGAGGACGTCGACCGGGCCATGGAGGACGTGCGCCGCGCCCTCTTCGACGACGAGTCGGACCACGGCGACGACTCTGACGGGGCACTCTCGGACATGTCGGCGGGCGACCCACGCTCGCGGCGCTCGGCGCACGAGCGCCGCCAGGCCAAGCTGGCCGAGGAGATCCGCAAGCTCGAAGCGGCGTCGGTGGCCAAGCGCGAGTGGGCCCTGATGGGCGAGGCGAGCGCCGTCGAGCGACCGCAGAACTCATTGTTGGAGCAGGACCTCGACTTTGAGCACGCCGGCAAGCCGATCCCCGTCATTACGGAGCAGGTGACGGAGGGCATCGAGGAGCTCATCAAGCGCCGCATCCTGGCGCAGGAGTTTGACGAGGTCATTCGTCGCCGGCCTGACGCCGCCAGTGTCGCCGCCGGCACGCGCCGCGGCCTCGTGGAGCTCGACGACACCAAGTCGTCCAAGGGTCTCGCCGAGCTGTACGAGGACGAGCACCAGAAGAACGCCAACCCCGACAGCTACGTCAGCAAGTCGGACGAGAAGCTGCGCAAGGAAGAGGCCGAGGTGGAGCGCATTTGGAGGGACCTCAACAGCACGCTCGACGCCCTCAGCAGCTGGAACTACCGGCCGCGGCCGTCGGAGCCGTCGCTCACCGTGGTCGCCGACACGGCGACCATCTCGATGGAGGACGCGCAGCCGGCGACGGCGCAGGGCGTCATTGGTGGCGATAGCAC